ACAAAGTATAAAAAAACATTTAATGTTGACCTCTTTTTATTTGGTGTCAAATTTGAGGGTGTCACAGGTGAAAAAACCGTGCGGTGTCCCACACGTTGTCTAGATGACGATGGACAAATTAAAGAGACGTACATTTACTGTGGCCTGGGAAGAGATACTGAGTACAAACTGGATCTGTACGTTACATAACAAACCAACTGAGTGATTACATTAATTCCATACCATAATTTTCGTTCACAGTGCAAAAAATTGTTATGAATTTGCTAAAGACATATCTGTGAATGTCCAGTGAATAATCAATCTGTGACCCTAAAGGGTACTGCTCTGTGTGTGTGTGTGCGTGTGTGTGTGTGTGTGTGTGTGTGAGAGAGAGAGAGAGAGAGAGAGAGAGAGAATCAAGCATGCATGGGTATAAGATTTCAGATTAACACATAAAAATGCTTTAACCAGCTTCACAGGTTTTTCTCTTTTCTTTTTCTTTCTTTCTTTCTTTCTATCTTTCTTTTTTGTTTTCTTAATTTTTTTGAAGAAGAGGATAAGAAAGAGAGAGAGAGAACATATAAGGTTATAAAACGTGATCTCAGACGAACGCAACTTCTTTTGACTTGCTCCATACGTTTCCTTTTGCCCTATATACACTTAATAGTTTTTTTTCATTTAACTCAATCCCTTTTTTTCGTTTATACCAAGAAAAGATAACATACTGCTAACGAACCAGCAATATTATCGTCGCGACATCTTTGCACGAGCCTTCTCAAAGCACGATAAGTGGCAACGCGTTCCCGTTTCCGGCAACCTGCCTCTCAATTTTTACCACGCCAAACAATTTCTGTTATCGAGCTCCAAACATCTTCAACAAGCAAGGCATCTGAGCGTGGAGCGCTTGTTTTCCCATTTTCGCGATAAATCATCAAATTAAAGTAGAACTCTCTTGCCTTAGGTAACTCCCCGGTCCACGGAGCTGATGGAGTAGTTTGCATTCCAACTACTCAGCCAATTTCACAGGCGCTCTAAAGACGAGGAGAAGTATTTTATCTCAGCCCCAGCGAGCGTATTTCTGTGTTGTCGAATTGATCGAAAGGCTGCACTTTCTGTAAACTTTCTGCCACTTTAAGTAATCGGGCGAAAATGATTAAAAATGAAACGCTGACTATTCTTTGTGTGCACTCCTCGATCGGGTTACCTCCGGTAACTGTTTGTTTTAGGACTATAAAATATCTAAATCTCTTCCAAATTCGATTATTCCACAAGAGACAGCGCTTTCTTGAAATATAACAACAAGTGCACGGCAGCGTTAAAAGTTGATGTCTTTTATCTCAGCAATTTAAGCTTGTCATTTTCGATCACGATGACGTACTGCTGGGGGCAAACGGGATAATTTGTTTGCGAATTGGGCCAATGTTGTACTTGTAGTTAACAATATATATCTAAGCTATCGAGTCTAATGTTGACGTTCTATGTGGCAGGCTTTTGATAACGTAGGGCGTGTTGACAGTGAACGTCTTATACCAGGGTGGGCAGGATTGAAAAGGAAAGGGGGGGGGGGTAGTCGATTTCTGTAAAGGTTCCGCATTTCCCCGACCTACTGTATACTCGATTAACTGATATGTTAGGCAGACAAATTCCCTGCTTAACTCGTAGAAAAAAACACTATTAAAGGTGTGTTGATTACCTGTCATTATGACAGGTTTATCTTTTGCTCTTCTCAGCGGAGATTCAAAGACATTGGCGTTGAAGCGCTTTTTTCCAGAGAACTTAATCACAGTGGAAGGAAACTTTGGAAATCCTGAGAGAGAGTAATTGTAGTGTCGACCCCAGACAAATCAAGCTGGCGAGATAGAAGACGGAGGTTAGGAAGAAACATGAAGTCAAGTTTCTTAACGCAGGGCAGATGTATACGCACAGCTCGGGGAAATAATGAATGGCTCCAATTTTCTCATAGTTTGTCGTGTTTCTGAATTGTAAACACGGAAGGAATAATATACATCTTTTATAGTTTTGTAAATCTCTGGAATTCGCCCAACTGGCATGGAATAATTGGAACAGTTGAGCAATAGATCAACTCCTTTCCTTTATTTTGGAGTTTCAATTCCCAGAAAAAGGTCTACGGACTTTTTTAAAGACACCACTTCTTTTCTTACGTGTTCTTCAGGCCTGGTTTAGAACAATCCTCCATTTATAGATCTTCGACAAGACCCAACCTTCACATACTATTAGTTTGAAGAGCTATGGCCTTAACTCGTGTAAATATAAATGTTATGGTGCTTGTTGAAACGCTAGGAGGGGGGACACAACAGAAGATTAGCCGTGGCCCCATCAAACAGTAAATCCCTGATGCTGTTCGAGGTTGTTTGGTATTTCTCCCCATAAAGCTTTGTATTATACCCAGTGTTTGGTAAATTACGACATGCCACAAGCAATGAGATTATCCAGAACGTTGTGTAAGTCCTGGGGAAGACGCTCTATGAATCAGGGTCCTGGCGTTTGCTGTTCCTTGACTGGTATAATATACCTAACTCCTGATCTCTCTGTCTCCACACACGCACAAGCACACAGCTTACAAAAGAAAGTTGGCGCACGCGTGAAAGCAACCACGCATGAATTCCCAATGAGAATTAATAAGTAAAAGCTCACATGCACACACGTTCGCGCACTTTCGCACAAAAAACTTTGGAGCTTGAAGAATATGGTAAAAAGCATCTTACCTGTGGAGGAGACCCAATATCCAACATTGAACGCGGTTGCACGTAGACTACAAAAACCAAAATTGACTCCACCAGCCTCCAACGCTGGACGAAAACCAACTCAGCGGGATTATTTAAAACTCATTCCTTCCATTCTTTCCACTAAACGGGAGCAGTTTACCTCCTATTAGCTTTTTAGCCCGTCTATTTACGGCTATTTACGGGCGCTCCCGTCGCGTGCAATCTCGCGGCGTGCGAGGACAAGATGCGACAGCGGTGCCCGGATATGGAGAGCACACTACTGACGGTTCCAATTCACAGGCCGCGGTCACGTCACTGGTAATTACATGGAAATAATACTGAGCGTGAACTCAGAGATCTCCCATCACCGCAGCCGGTCAAGCTCCCTCACATGCTCAACTCTACTAATCAGGAGGCAATTTTGTTTTGGGTTTTTTTTTTATCTCCAGGCGAAATAAACTTTTAAGATGTGCTGTCTGGGTGCCGTGGTTTTAATGGCAGGGTGTTTGTTGATCATGATGTAGTTAATCATTCTGGTAAAGCACACACAGAGATAGCGGTTGCCAAATTGCTTATTTAGTGGCTGATTTTACTTATTAAAGAACCTGTCGTGATCTATTTGGCACACTGGCGACTGATGGACATGCTCCACCGTGCCCTCTAACGCCCAGATGTAACAAGCCTTTTGATGGAAAAATATCCGGATACGAGGCAGCAGCTTTTTGTTACCCGCGGCGAGTAAGTGTATATGCAACGCATAAGAAAGCAGTTCTCATTTTTTTACAACATGATATTTTTAACAACTTAAAATGATAAGCGATTGCAGTATCTTCACAACATTGTGTATGTTAATCAACACCACATTTAAGAGTAATGATTCTTTTGTGAATTAATAAAGATTTTCCTTTTAGCCAAAAAAGGGTCACCAACAAATACGCATTAAATTGATAATCGTGATATGGTCAAAAAGATGAGGTGGCTCAAATTGCTATCTTCAACTATGAACATAAAATCATCTCAATATTTATTATTATTATAATAATAATTATTATTATTATTATTATTATTATTATTATTATTATTATTATCAAAAGAAGGAGAGGTTTCTAAAAAAAATGATCGCAGTCAGAGTACCTCCTCTCCCTCTTTCCCTCAACATGGGAACTGATATCGCTGTATACACTACAGAAAAATGCCAAATATGAAATCAAACCCAGTGAGCCGTATGACTGCTGACACGCCAGTTACCTGAGTAGAGACAGATCTGATACAGATATCAATTAAAATACCGCTGCAGTGTTGCCAAGGACGTTTACCTTTTATTGAATTATGTTGGCATTCTTAGACGCAGTTCGCGGAGCCAGATGATGAGCTGGAAAGTTCTTTTTCATCCAGAATATGGTTGTCAGAAGTAAAAAATTAATAAATAAATAATAAAAAAAAATAGTCACCAGTTTCATTTCCATGAAATAAAATGAAATCAAACTGATCAGAATGTGAACTGAAATTTTACACTTTGTGTCAAATTTACGACCCCAATTTTGTCTGCTCATGCCTCTCGATCCTTCCCCCCCCCCAAGCCACCAACCCCCCTCTTATGTCCTCCAGAATTTACTGGTGTATTTTTTATTTTTTAATTAAAAAGGTTGCCTGCAACCTTTAAAAAGTGAGCCCGGGAGTTATGGAATTAGGTTATAGGGTTTGAGTAGAGGTCAACTTTTTTTTCTTTTTTTTTTTTCTTAAATTAAATTAGCTAGAGTTGTGGCTAGTCACTCAGCCCTGGATGACCTTTACATTGACCTCCTGTCAGAGCGCGTGGAGGTCAGAGCATGGAGGTCAGAGAGGTGTACAGAGGGGAGAAGACCGCCGGCTATTATTAGCCCCACTCGACCTCGACACAACAGGCTTGAATGATAAGTGCTTCTAGACAGAGAGTTCAGTTTCGGGGCCAGTGGATAAATATATAGATATTGCAAATGTACTGAGCGACAGAACAATATTATGAACAATCCAATCAATAACGAAGTTTTTGTGAATTAAAGAACCAAGGATAATGCACATAATATAGCATTGTTATTAAAAAAAACTTCTTGGTTTCTTTAATAAGAAAAGCGCACGAGAGAAATACTTAGTTTTTTACTGTGTCGATTAGAAAAATATGTTAATGATAGTGGAAGCAAATGTAACAGCATGCTGAATTTCAATTTAAAATTGTAAGGATTATTAATAATCTATTTTTATTTCCTGACAAAGGGGGATTCCGAGCCTCGTTCTAGATCGGCTGTAAATGACGTAAGCGACTGGAATACCGTCGCCATGTTTTAGAATACAACGACGACAGTGTGTGAACTTGAGCTGAAAAACGTCGATTTTATCACTGGTATTACGTAGTTGCAATACGATGGAAGTTGCATAATGGTGAGACGCTTTCCTCTTAACGTTTCAGTCGCTTTAAATATTGTGGTTATAACATGCAAAGCAGGGCAACATACAAAACAGATGGCATTTCATTTTCGATAAATTTTATTTTTAACTTGCTGCCTAGCAGAGTGAAGACATCTCCATTTGGAATCAAAATACACTACAGACAGCGTGTAATATTTGGACAAGTCTGGTGGAAGAAAGTCTGATTTTGTCCCAGCACCCTCTGTGCGACAGTGGATAGCGTTAAAATGGAATGAAATGTTACAAAGTTGTTCAGTGATAGAATTTTTATATATATATTTTTTAGCAGTAATTTACGTGACTGGTGTCAGAAAGCAAAAGACAAAAGTCATAACAAAAGACAAGATGTAAAATTATTTTCTGACCCATGTATTTTTGATGATGTTAATTTTAGATTTTCTAGCTCAGAATGAAGCTTTAATAAAGGAGGTACAGGATTCATGGGTTTGTGTGTCATTAAGAGGGATTATGCATATTTTGTTTTACATTTTCATATTTGCATAGATTGCTGTTGGATTAGTCATTTAATGTTCATGAACAGAGAGACTCGGAAGGGGAGGGAGGGGAGTTGTCATATATATATATATATTTGTATACTCATGCAATTATCAATAGCCTGCGATGGCGCTAACACTCGTAAATTGGCCAAATGCTAAAACTGAGCTTAGGGTCTATTCCCACAACTTTAGTTCGATCTATCACCGCGGGGAGTCTCACCAGACTACCGTCAGATAATCCCCCTTAAGTGTCCGTCCCCGCCCACTACAAGCCGTAAGGGGCAATTAACTTTCGTGTCCGCCCGGCTGACAGCTATTCAGCGCGAACCCCCAGGGAGTTAGGTCGATCCAAAATAGGTCGATCTAATCTATGGAAATGGGGTGTTAGATTGCCTAAACAATATAGGGTTGATTTGAATTGACTTTTTTTTTTTTTGTAATGGTAAAGTAGTGATTTGGCTTAGTGAAAAAAAATCACTAGTTCTACCCCAGAACAGCCCGGTGCATTATTTCACCTCTCTGTTAATTTTATAGATGGTTTAGAAATGAGCTACATGTGTAAATAAACTTGAAAGAGTAGATTTTGGTGGTGATCTGTTAGTAAATTAGTCCATAATAGCTTCCTTAGAGGAAGTCTACACTGTCTTAGTCCTTTTTTATGTGAAAATAATGTAAACTGTTTACTAGTATTCTATTTCATTTCTTGCTTTTTTTTCCCCAGAGATTTGGACTGAAGCAGTTGAAAAGATATTCCACATGTTGAGTTAGATGCAAGCAGATGATTGGTTCTTTGGGGTTCACCTGGACCAATGAGGAGGCTGCTTACATTTCGGAATGGTCTAGCCTTCCACACAAGTCAAGTGCCATATTACATTCGTAACCTTCCAATTTACATTCGCACAATGTACACGACAAAGCTTCAGTTCAGCATTCTTTTCGTAAAACACATCTCGATGCTGGTTCTTTTAATTGGCCTCAGTCTGGGTTTGTACACCAGATGGCAGCACACAGAGGACATCACCATCTTAATGCTGGCCATAGTGGGGCTGTTTGTGATGACTATCTCCCTGGCTTTGACCTACTATTTCTCCATGGAGACGTTGGGGTCCGTCATCATGCACCTATGGCTGGGCAGCCTGGTCGGGATGATAGCCTTCACAGAGAACAAGATGTTCCAACACGAAACCCTGGAGGAAGTGATGAACATACTCCTCATCACCAGCCTTGGATTGCGCTGTTTTTGGGCCGTGGGAGAAAGGTGTGTGCAGGCGGTGTCGTACTCACGCACGCTGGCGACCAAGATGGAGCTGACTGAGATGATGGGAATGATCATTGCTAGTATTTTGACAGACAAAGACTTTTTATCTCTTGCCCTGTTAACCAGTGCTCTGATTGTGACGCTCATTGGAATACGACTCAAGTCCATGTTATCTGTGTTGTTATTGATTAACCTTGCTGTCATATCAACGTTTTTCTTCTTCCCAGTTTTGAAGATAACTGTGAATATTTACGCCTTAAGTTTGTTTGTTGGACGCATGTGTTTCGAGCCTCTCATAGATCTCTACTTTTCCAACCTCACCACATTGGAGAGGTGGCAGGCATTCTTGGACTTGTCGAGTTTTTACAGAAAAGTGACGCTCATTGTTATAATGCTGGTAGAACTCACATTTGTGTCTTTGATGGCTTGGTACATGCCCAACCACAAGGAATGGTTTATAGTGGTACCAATATTTGGTGCCACGGCCCTGCTCTGGCTCAGCTTCCACCTAGTCTTTCTCATCACTTGTTGGCAGCTCATGAACAAAATCACAGATTGTAACACCACCTATGGAGCAGTCAGTGACGAAAGCAAGAATCTCGGCCAAATCATGGCTTCCAAGGGTGTCCGCCATTTTGCACTGATTTCTCAGCGTTTGGTTATGTTCACGGTCTTGAGCAGCGTCATCGTAGCTGCTGTAGGGTTTGAGACTAGAAAAGGACTGACGATCAGTTTATTCCTGACTATTCTGCCTTTGGAGTGCATGGTGCTCAGCTTGCTGCTTGAGCTAGGGTCTGTCTTGGGAGGGACGTGTGTGGGATATGCACTGGTGGCGCCATCTACATACCACAGGTAATCTGAAAAAGTGGTGAGAGAGAGAGAGAAGAAAAAAGAGAGAGAGAGAGAGAGAGAGAGAGAGAGAGAGATTGTTGTGGCTGAGCATATTCATGCTTGTGATTATTTGGGATGCATACTGTTACTAGTATCCCAATCTGTATAGAAATGTCTGTATACCAGTTTATAATTATCCCACAGGCTTTTTCATTTACATGCATGATTTTACAGAATTCTAGTTATATGTTGAAAGTCTTGTCATTGTAAGGGGGAAGCTGTTATATCATTGTAGTAACATTTTTTTCACTTTCCTGACTTTAAATGCCATATCCCAAAGAGTTGATGAATCCCCAACCACCCCCACCACCCAAAAAATAATAACAACAAAGAAAGAAAATTTAAGAAAATAAAGAAAATCTGTGGTATATTTGCCTTTTTAGGCAATGCATACCATAATATTTATCTTCCATAAAATATCTGTTTTACAATAATATGACTTATTATCTCCACCAATAGGAAGGATGCCAAGGCAACGGTCCTACCCACCAACGCCCTACAGGAGCTGGGGTCAAGGTCAACACAGATCCTGAACCAGATCCAGCATTTCTTTGCCTACCATATGGTGGATGTGTACGGCTGTGACTACTCTTCCAGTGGTATCGCCAGTGAGGCGCTGCAGTCGAAATTAAAGGCATTTTTTGACCGTCGTATGTCGGATGGGCCAAGATACGACACGTACATTGTGTATTATAGCGGTCATGTACAAGAGAATGGGGATTGGGCTCTTGCAGGTATTTGAAGTATATGTGTTCATAGTTAAAGGTACTTAGTGTAAGCTTTTCCCTTGAAAAACACATATTACTTTAGAATTTTTCCTGGTGGGAACAGTATTTTCTCTGACCAACCATCCTTTGATGATGCTTTCTGCCCACATGCCATATTTCTGTAAGATTCCAGTAAAATTAAGAAGTCCTCACCCATGCTTAATAGCTTAATGTCTACTCCACTTCACAGCCTCACCCTCAACTTCAGAGAAGTTAATAACAAATTATTGAGCTTGGATCGTGACGAGTTTTCAAAATTCTCTCCACAGGAGATGGCACACTGAAATACGAAGACCTTCTCGAGTGGTGGAGAGAGAAAAATGCTGACTCTGATTCCCGTCTCATCCTCGTCTTGGACACGGAACATTCCTACAAGTGGGCCAAACCAGTTCACAAAACCAGGGACGCTTTTATAGCTCTTCAGGCAACGAAGATTGGAAAATACACAGACCCTGAAGAGGGCGCCACAATCAAATTGGGTGACTTCACCAAGGAGTGGGTGGAGTATAACAACGTCAGTCTAAGCGGGTACAGCGATATCAACTGGAAGGATTCAAGTCGCGTCATTAAGGCTGTCTATTCCACTTCTCGGTGCTGGACTGACTTTACCTTCCATCTGCCGACCGAGGACGAGATCGCGCAGCACTGGCAGAGCAACTTCCCCAAGTTTACGCGTCCTCTGATCAAAGCTACTCACTTCTGCCCCAGTGTCAGCAACCTATGCTTTTGCTGTGACTGTGTTGTGAGGTGTATGAGGAGAAAAAAGATGGCTTGGTTTCCGCCATCTGAGTTGGATACTGGGCATGGGTTTAAATTGGTCAGGTCTTAGCATGCCTTGTCTTACAGAGGTTCTTTCTGTCACATCTGACACACTGTCACATCTAACACACTGTAATGCTGTTACAAATGACACAAGACACAAGAAATCACATCTGACACTCTGTCTTAGTTGACACACTTCTATGACAATAGTATTTGGTCTTTTGGGCCAGAACCTCATCTCAGTTGAATCATACATTGAGTAGATACATCTAACTGCAAACGAAAAAAGTGATGTTAGTTTACAAGTTTTACTAACCTAGCTTAGTCCCAGCAATTTGCTTGTACAAACAATTGCCTAAAGTATTATAATTTTAGATTTTAGAAAACAAAATGTGCCAAAAAGGTTAAAAAAAGCTCTGTGACAGTTGATTGTCATTGCTAAAATGAACTATTGTTGTGGTCCTGTTTTGTGATTTTTAAATCACCAAGTTGCATTTATGAGACTGGGGTTTATAATGTTACTTATGGATAAAGGTATTGTGGAGATACATACAGTTTTTAAGACACTAGCAACGTGGCTAAAAAGTGATGTCTTTATCTGCAGTAAAGCTTATTGCCAGAGAAGCAAAATGATATTAATCTATGACAAATTTTGTATTTTTAACTGTTTTATTATGCAGTTTGTATTGGAGTTGAAAGGAACAAAACAAACAAAAGCCTATGAGCTCAAATGAAAAATAGCTTGTTGTCTAGACATATTGATACGGTTAAGGTTTGGACTTATTTATGAAGGAGAGGAGGAATGGTCCCTCTGACTCAGATCTGCCAGTTCCATGTGGATTAACTGGGTCATCAGGTGGATTAATTGGGTCACCAGGTGGAGTTTTAACTGCAAATCGGTCTGATAGTAATACTTGTGTGAACAGGACTTGTAAAGAGAAGCAATGCTGTAGGACAGCAACAACCAGTATTTGGGGTTTTTAAGTTTTTATCAATATCCCCCTCTTGGACTGTGTCATAAGTCTAATTATCTTCCGTTTACTGTCATGTAAGTTGGAGCTGTGGATCAAAACATTCTAGTTTACTATTTAAAGAAATTTGTTGACATTTATGTGATGTGATGAGATGAGGTAACAGCAGGGTCATGAGAAGTACAGACCCAGTGCTGTATTTGTGCATTTATTAAGTGAAATAAATTATACTCAAACTTTATTTTGTATTAAATTTCTTCTTGGAAATTAAACAAACTCGGGGTCTCTAGGAAATAGAAACTTGTGTGGAAGCAGTCTTGGCTTACTAAAATTGATAGTCTTCAAACCTATCGACCTGCTTGGAAGAAGCTGAAGGGAAATCTTATAAGAATCTAATTAGTGTAACTTAATCTTCAAGAAGTTTTTGGTCATAAACATTTTTGTTAAAAAACACATCGAAGGGACCTCAGTACATCTAATATATATATGCTTCTGTGTGCTGATATGGCTCCTGAACAGTCTTAAACACAGTTCAAAATTAAACAGAAAATGTGTTGAAAGTGAATTTTTTTATTTCTTTCACCAAAGAAAATATTTAACCAAAGCAAAGGTCCATAACAAACAGTGCCTACATGCAAAGTTCGTCCTTTGCTTCAAGCAATACGTAAGATGGAAACTTGAGATTAGCTGTAAGGCACGTTATAACTACATGTTACAACTCCCTCAGCTGACTGTATTGAAAAAGAGAAATATTGCTCTTACATTATAACAATTAAGATGACGGATGCATTCTGTCTTCGGGCTACTCCTTGGATTCACAGCTAAGACAAGTCACCGGGATGCAAAGTATTTCTTGAGAAGATAAATCTCTCTCACACTGTTAGCCCAGACAATACAGAGCGATGTTGCTTCACCACAGAAATCTAAAATTTTGTTAAAAAATTCCGATTGTCGCATTTAGGATGTAAGATGGACTTAAATATAAAACTTTTCATACAAAAGCTGCAAAATACGATCAGCACCTGGCATATCTCACTTATATTAAAATTACTGATTATTTATAATAATATTTCTACATTTTGTAAGTTAAACATCTATTGGTCAAAAGTTGTTAAAAGCAAGCATGGTTCTCAGAGAGTAGGGAGGTCCAAGTTGCTACAAATGATATATCTTGAAAAAAATAATAATAAGTATGGAGTTTAAAAGTTACTAGTAACTACAGTACCAAGCAAAAACTTCCATTACTACAATTATTATAACTGCTAATACTACTACTAATAATAATAATGCTTACTGTAATTATACATGAATGCAAAATTCAACATGTATTCTACTGAGATTTAAAACCTGAATGCTGATTTATCAGAACAGTAAAATACTATGTTCTCTCTCTTGCTTTTTTCCCCTCACATTTAAAAAAAGTGCATGAATTTCCAATGAGGAGAATAGTACATTGAAGTATTAGGCTCCAGTCACATGGAAAATCTATTTTCTAAAAATCTATTTTCTGTACATCTTATAATCACGGTCTGTGCCCTGGATACCCCGCGGCGTAATTACTGGCAGCACAGAGAATTCATTAGAGCTTAGGAAGTAACTGGCTCGTGCTGCCCGTAATTACGCTGTGGGGTATTCAAGGCACAGACCATGACCACAAGATACCACAAATAGATTTTTAGATTTTTAGAAAATAAATTTTCCATGTGAACGGAGCCTTAGATTCTAAAAGAATAAATTTGAAAAAAGGAGGAATTGCAAGCTTACCCAATAATCTAATAACATTTTTTTGAATTTTTTTGGTATTGGAACCAGAGTTAAAATCTGTATATGATAGACATAAATAAAACATCATCTAAAGGAGATCAAGTGTTCCTCAAAATCCGTTTCATGCACCCAACAAAGCAGTAAAACATCTGGTGTCAGTGCCAAATACCAGCATCTGTTACAAAGGGGTTTAACTCCCAACTTAGAAGTACATTCAGTAGGTAAGCAAGTCCTGACATTCTCTCTTGCTATGTCATGACAAAAAAGACATCAAAAAGAAAGAAAATCATACTTTGAGTGAATGCACATCTTGTTGTTGTTTTTTTGTAAATCTGAAATGTGTCCGTAAAAATATGACCTAAATGCTAAGCTACTGAATGTCCCCTGATTTTAGTCCACATTATAAATTGGGTTTGCTATTCAGTTACCTCATTTAGTACCAGTAGCTACACACACAAAGCCTTAACACCCTGAGAGTCAGAATTTACTGAAAACCAACCTCTTTCATCATTGTATGAGGAAAGTTTCCAACAGTTTCTTAAATTCAGGGTAAAGCTCTGTAAATCAAGTCGCAGCAAATGTAATCTGTCGATCTCATCCTGCACATTGCTTCAACCAAATGTCTCAATGAATCCTTGGTATCATAACTCATTACCTTAATTAGGCATTTAACACAGGGGTAACGACCGTGTAATGGAGTCTTAATGGGAGATGTGGTGTATATCTGAGTAGTTCACATCAATATGGTCTTTATCCGTATCAAAAACTCCCAGGCCTGAAGGAAATGACTATGTTCCACATGAAACAGGGAAAAAGCTATTACTTATCTGATATTATAACTTAAATTCGATTATTTTGCTCAGTTTAACAATAACATGATACTAACAAAGAAAATAAAACCAATTTTTTTCTTAACTGTTGAATAAATATAATACCTATTGAATATTTAAGAGCATCCTATAATGACTCAATTGCATAATTGTTACAGAGGAAAACAAAAAAGTTCCAAAATTACTCTGGTCATACTGGCCTATTTTGAACAAGATGGCCCAGAAAATTGCCAAAAAATACTTATAAAATTCTCAGATTAGTCCAATGCCACTAGTATGTTGTAGGATGACCACCAAACTGTTCCTACAAAAACCCTGAGAGCCAGAGTTGAAAATGACCAATGTATATATATTTAAATATCGGAACTGTCCTATATTTTATAAAATTTAAATACTTCTTTGTGGCATTTGTGGTGATTTTATTGCATAGTACAGAAATGAAGAGTAGCCTGTTTTTTAATTTTGCTGCCACCACTCAATAGGAAAGTTCTAATTTGAAGAAATTACGACTTTAAAAAAAAAAAATGCAGTATCAGATTCTATCAAATTCACAATTTCCCCCATTGAAAAGATGAAGCAATTACTGTTACAATAGTTAATACTGGGTCTGTCAAGTATTGATGTGGGTCAATGAAAAAAGTGGCCATACTTGGTTTCAGCCTAGGGTTTATATATAGTAAAGTCACACTTATCTCAACAATACTGATAAATAATACAGCCCGTATTAACATTCTTCCAGTAGCACCTGGAAAGTTGATTTAATAATTCTCAAAACAAAGTCAGAGACTTCGTTAACACAAGTCTTCTTCCTCTTCCTCCTCAGATTCCTCAGCTAATGGCATCTCGTTAAAAGTCTCTCGTATACAGTTGTAATCCTCCAAAGTGTTGTCACTAAATGATATCCCAAAGTTCTTGCTCTGAATCTTGATTTCATGGAAATCCTGGGGTATGTACATCATGTCAGGAGTGACGTCACCCACCAGGTAAGACTCCGTGGAGCTACGATGAATCTTACGAAATGCCATACAGTGCAGGTGTTCCTGTTTTACGTACTTCCATCTCTTGTACCCCAGTGACTCGATTGCTTTCTTCCAGCTCTTCATCATAGGAGCGTTCCTATTTTGATGACCGCTGTCCGGTGTGATCACCAACAGGAGACCATTGATCATCAACAGCTGCTGGGCCTTCTGGCAGCACAGCCATCTTTGATACGCTGAGGGGAAATATTCCAAGAGAAGAGAGAAGACAACAACGTGGAAGCACTCCGCAGGGAGCCTCTCTATGGGATCTTTGACAGACTGGAGATAGGAGTCCATGGTGTCCACAGCGAGTTGGAGAGGCTCTGACAGTTCTAGGTGAAGGAAATCACAGTGATACACAGACTGGAAGTAGAATCATCTTTACGGTAATTACTATTGAAATATGAGCAACATGACTTTAAAATTTAAAAAAAAAAGAAAGCTTTAAAATTGACACAAAAGTTTTTAAAAGAGAGTTTGCTTCACGTCAAACATTGCTGTCTGAAAATGATAAATGCTACAAAAAATTGGAAATTTTCAATAATTCATCTCCCTAATGTCTGAATACTTATTAAGTACTACAGTCTTCATCACACTTCATTTTTATGACAATGGTAAATATTTATAAAAATCCAGATGTGATATTACATTAATGTTTTCCTCTTTCTTTCCAGGATGCATAAATTACACCTAGCTTTATTTTATATTCAAAAGTTTAACCCTTCTAAAAATAAATTACACTAATTTCTTACTGCAGCAGTGAATTGGAAACAACCGACTTAATTTTATCACAATTTCCTAAATCATTTTCTGTTTATAATTTCTAAATTTTGATTAGAAAATTACGAACAGTGATTCATTTCAAATCGATTAATATTCATTCATTCATTTATTTATTCATTCATCTATTCACTTATTGAGATTCCTGAAGATGAGAAATCTTGACATTATTAATTTTTGGAATAAAAGATGTTTGTAATTAGTAAGCAGGTGCCAGGTTTCCTCACCTCTACGGCAGGACTGATATCTATACCCAGTGCCAGGAATTCCTCAAACTCCCTGAAAGGATTAAAACAGCTGCCAACATCTAGCAGGCGAATCCTTCCCCGGAATGGCAGAGTTCTGGGGAAAAAATAAAAAATGAAAGTTTTAAATTTTTTTTACACAAATAAGGCATGTTTGAATTAGTAAGTTATTGGAGTGTTAAATCTTATATATATATATATGATGAAACATCTTTATCTCCCACCAAACAATACATCTTTATGACAATTTCAGCACTGTAATCAAGGCCACCCTGACCCCAAGGGAGAGACTTTTGCTCCACAAAAGTCATTAATCCAACAATAGTCAGAAAAACCTAATTACTGCATCAACACATCCCAAAAAGTCAGAAAATCCTCAGATATTCTGATAAGCAGAAAAGACTCCACTTTGCAACTCACACAGAGGTGTAATTTCCTTTGGACAGCTGGTGTTGTTTGGACCTCCACGCCTCCTGGTCAGAGGGTACAAAAAAACCATCACTGTCCATCCCTGACGAACTGGACAGACCCCCCAGGGACTGGCTGCCCACAGATGGCAGAGACTGGACCTCACTACTGGGTGACACACTGTAGTTGTTGTTGTCATAGAGATCTGCGGGGCCTCGAAAGGGGGGTTCTGGTTGTTCCTTAGTAGGACTGTTCAATGGGAGGCTTTGAGTGGGAGGCTCCGAGTGTTCCTTGGCAGGGCTGTTCAAGTGGGGGATACATATGGGGGGCTCTGGCTGATCTCTGGTGGAAATATCAGGCTGAGGCTCACAACTGGGGGGTTCTGAATGTTGTTTTGTACTTGAATCAGCCATATGAGCTGTGTCTGTTAATCTCATGGCACTTGGGAATTGTTCAGCCTCTGTAGGTGTTTCTTCAGCTGGCAGAACTGGGCTTTTCTCAGTGGATGTTGGCTCAGGGGGCAGTTGCCATGGTTGTAGAATGTGAGTAGCTTGTAATATATCCGTAGGAAATGAGTCTGGTAGTTTCCTTCTCCTAGCTGGAGGAGACTGAGCAGTTGTCTCAGCCTCTGTATTGCCACTTCTCTGTTGTAACTTCTCTGAGTCCAGCTTCATCATGTCACTGGTTTTAGAAGTCATTGTTTCCACTTTGGTGTTACACTGCCTGCATTGCACTGGGTAAACTTTCTTGTCAGTGTCTGAGAATTCTTGTACAGTCTTCGTATTGAGATCAGTGTGGGAGAGATCAAGTTGATCTATATTGTCCTTTGCTCTTTGGCAGGAGACACAATAGGATGACTCCTCCAGAAGATAAGTGTCAGTTGTTTGAGCAGATTCTTGACCAAATAACTGTAAGTTTGATAATGCTGTTGATAACTCCACATCGCTGGCAGTCTCGGGGTGTTTGACAAACAATGTGTGTGTCACCTGACCATCAGTGACAATCACGTTAGACGTTGATACCTCACAGTCATCACTCGTCTGACTACTCATGGAGTCGCGGTGAGAGAACTGCCTATTGAACAACCTCTGTCTCTCTTCCTTATCCAGTGCTCTCTTCAGCCCCCCTTCCAAGAAGTATTCCAAGCAGGTGCGTCTACACCAATGGATTCGCGTCTCAGGATTTTTGCTCCAGTGGTCAACAGCCAGATGGTGCATCGCCTCAGCATATTCTGTGAGGAGATCTTGGTTAGAGCAGTGCTCGTTCCACACTTTATCAAAGTCACCATTACCTGAAGATCAAATATACAAAAATGTTACATGTATGGAGCGAGATATACCACTTTTTTTAGGTGGGATAGAGCCTCTATAAACAATCTAGTGATGTAGTCGGCTCATACCCTGCATCAACTACAGTATATGCATTTCAATTTTGAAAAACGTAATGAATAAATAAATTTTACTAAAAATAAATATTTAACTTATCTTCATAGCTTTTTAAATGACGGTAGTCTTGTCTGATATTGAAATATTTGTTTAGCGATTCATCTAGAACAATCATCAACCGAACAGAGTTACAATCTAGGCTTGGGAGGATCACATTGAATTTCCATCAAAAACTTGATAACGACAAAATAAAATCATAAGACAAAGTGTGATGACTCACTTTCCTGCAGCTCTCTCCTAAGTTTTGCATGCACACCTTTAACAACAGACGCTAGTTTCAGATGCTCTTCTTTATCACTGACGCTGGAACCTCGAGACATCTTCCCCGGTGCCTGAGCGTGTTGTCAATGTCATCACTCTGCCATTTCACCATTCCGGAAGTAACACAATCGGACCTTCCTTCCAAGGAGAACGTCGCAGTTAGATTGCGTCAGGATAGCTCAGCTAACACAATGAGGTGGGCTGCATACAGCGGTTATTCAGTGCAGCCAGAGTCGTTGGAGTTGGCCAGTACAGTCAGCTGCCAACGGAGCTCATTCTAAAATTTTTGTGCTTTCAAATCCAACAATAAACAACTTAAACCATTTATAACAGCTCGATATTAGCATTTGGATTTTAATTAGTAATAGATGTCAACTAGGGTGCAGCGTACTCGTTGGGGTTGGGTTGGGTGGGGTGGGGTGGGGTGTGTGGGGGTGCTGGGAGTGTTGGGGCATCGGGGGTGTAATCTCGGATTGTCTTATAATTAAACCTATAATCACGTTTTGGGGTAACAAAGCACCCTCTATTGTGGTTACCTTCTTATTGTAAACTTCTAAAGGGGTTACTTTTCTATAAGCAGGCGAAATACTAGGTTAATTGATTATAAACAACAACTCCTTTTTATCACAATGCGATGACGCAATTTTACAATAAAAAAAAAAAAAAAATTAGAAAAAAAAAAAAAAAAAAAAAAAAAAAAAAAAAAAAAAAACTGCTTAGATTGTTTCGGATATGATCGCCCGACCTCGGCATGACTGATCTACCAGGCGCGGGACCAATACGTGGCCCATAATAAATATACCTTCAAAATATCGCACTTACAACACCTCAAATTCTTCCTTCCAATGAAATTCACGTTTTTTTAGTTCTTGAAACGTAAAGTTTTATTTTAAACTTTTTTTATTAACCTACCAAAGTAAAATACAAACAACTCAATTTAAAGTACGAGTTTTGCTTAAATGATCTTTTTATTATCTAATCATCCAAAAATAATAAATATTCCTAAGAATTATGTAAAAAATTTTTTTCTCATCAAAACTTGGCTTATTCTTCAGCGTTTCTGTTAAGAGAGGGACAACAACAGCAGCAACAACAACAACAACAACAACAACAACAACAACAACAACAACAACAACAACAATAATAATAATAATAATAATAATAATAATAATAATAATAATATTGATAAATCAACCATGATTAGTAGTTCCGATTATAATAAAGCCTAGTTTACTTTATTCTCGACCCCTACGCCCTTATCATTTTTCTTTCTGCAAAGTAAGCAACTAGATGGCCAATTATAGCTGGTTTTTATATTCTAAAATGACTGTTTAAACCATGTCAGGATAATCAAGTTTGTGGTAAGGGCACTCCCTTTTGGTTGTCTAGACGGCAAACGCTTACTTCCGGTACAAATAGTTCGTCTGCTTAACACATGTTCATTCCCGTTGCAGAGTCGCTATCTCTTGTTTATAATCATCCACGCAAACATTTAATTTTGATTAAATAAAGGCCCGAATGTTTGCAGCTAACGCCGAAACCTAGCAATGGTCTCTTAAATTACAACGAGAGTGTGGTGCTAAATATATCCGATTCTTTTATTCACGCAGGCCATTGCTCCGTTATATATACGCACGTACGTTACAAGGGTTAGGTTTGTTTATTCTTTGTGAGGCTAAAAATAAATACTCCCGGCCCAGAGAAAGCACGGTCTCTGTTGTAGTTTTTGTTTGCATCTCTTTCAATCCAGCACTGGCCCCTTTCTTTGTGCGATCTCAAGCTTCTATCTTGCTCAAACAAATATGCCCATACGGCTTTGTTTGTTATTTTTGTTTACACAGCAGGTGCTCGTGACGTCACATATTGCGAGCTGTATCACTTCACAAAATAACAAAGTCTGCCGCCGCTGTAATAATTAGGTCAATTGTACGGCGGCTAACATCCATTCGACATTATATGGCTTGCCTGTTATGCTGCCATCAACCATTAAATATTATTTTGTAAACGGTGTCATGCAGGTACCCGCTTTCATAGAAGACAGCAAGTCAACGATGAATGACCAGATGGGCGGAGTGATATATTTATATTTACGACAGTGATGAGGCTATTAAGTGTTGTCTGACGGCCTGAAAAATTTTCGGCTCTACTGACAACGTGCACGAAGGACTTCGGACAAGTTTGAGGTGAGTCAACCAACTTAACTGACAATTTTGGGTCATTTCCACTACTTTGACACTTAATTCATCATGATTATCGATAAATTTGGGCCCAGTGCTCGCCAGGAAGTTGTTGTTTAGAGCGGCCAACGCTTCGGTAAACAATTTGCATAGCCAATGAGCTGGTCAGAGAGGAAGAGGTAGCGTGACCCAGTTTTCATTCACAACTTGCCTTCTTACGTCGGCTAAATAGTAAAACGTGAACCCTCCTCTCCTGTCAATATTTGTGGGGAAAAGAGTTGTCTTAGAAGAGAGTAAAATGAAGGTTTATATGCTGGCGATCGCGTTGTTGTTGTTGATTATTAAACCGCCATGTTACTTTACGTTGAATAAACAACGGGCACAAAAATCGATAAGGACAACAATAAAAGCCGAGTTGCATTGATGGCCTAGAAAGTTAATGTCAGCCGCGATTCGTTTCTTATTTTACATCGCTGGTAACCCCGGCTTGGTTGACAGTGCTGAGTAGAGAATGAGTAATCGCGGTTTTGCTGCGCGTACGCGAACATGTGGGCCGATCTAGTAAAGTAAACAAAGCCGCTGCAGAATAACGTTTTAACTGCTGGAAAGAGTTAGAACATGTTGTGTTTTGGCCGAAAATGTTGTTTGAATCTAGGTGGGCCTTATCAGGCTACTTTAGAGTGAGCGCGTTTGTTTCAGCATGGATTATTTGCCCAGTAAATGGATCAGATGTGCTCTGTGCTGCAGTTTTAATTGTTTATTTGTATTGTGGCTCCATTAGCCAAAGGCAATTTGTGCAAAATCAAGGTAGTTTATCACGCACGCCCTATCAACACCACAGAGCCACAGTGAGACTTGAGTGGTAATACAACACAACAAATTTTGCTGCATTTCTTTTATCTTAGCAATTATCGCCAAGAATATTAAACTTTTGCAGAAAGTATTTGAATAGGCGTCCAGAGAGGCAGCTAAGCAAACTCTAACTCAATTAAAACCTGGGATAGTATTGTTTACAAAAGCGGGATTTGTATTAAGGTTTCCAGCATTTTGATTGGCACATTTGTTTACTGATTTGTTATTTTTGTTTACTAATGCGATCCTAACGGGGTTTGCCATCTGCCAAGTTTGCATAAAAAACCCTGACAACTATCAGAAGGCCAATTTTAAGATATAATTAAACCTAGCTCCCATCTTGTGCATAATTTACCATTGAAATGTGTTTGCCTCCTTTCATAAAGGCAGTCATCTGTTGTTCAATATCCCTAAAGATTTGCTTGGCATTAATTGCTATTTATTTATCATGCCCTAGTTGTTATTTTTGTTGACTGCGCTATCGACTTCACAAAGTCTCATTGTAATGTGGATATACTGCATGCTCAGTGTGGGTAAGGGAGCTTTCTCTGTCATTGGGTTGGGTTTGTTTGCAGAGCAAATGTAGTGTTTATTATTTTCAGCTTTATTAGCAGAGTCCCAGAGTAATATCCTGTATTTTTGTAAAATCCAATATTTAGGAAGCCGAGAGAGAGAGAACCAAGAACGCGGGGAAGGTCGTGCGATCGCCGCTCTGTTCTCCTGGTCAAGAAGGAAGGAAAGAGTAAAGTAGGAAAGCGATGTCCAGAGTAAGTAAATCACCTTCAGGACATTGGGAGATTGCGGACACTAAAGAACCTTCTTGTGATTTCACACCTAACGGTTTTAATCAATTATTTAGCATTCATTTTAAGGCAAATCTTTGATTTATAGAACATTCGAAGAAATTCAAGTTTTATGTGGTCATGTGTGGTTGCTTTAGTTTGTAAACAATTACAAGAAAAAAAACTGAATTAATATCAATCTTTTACAGCTTAATTTATCTATAAAGTTTGAATTTAGCTGATTTCATTAGATGTTATCCAGTTTGGTGAAGTTGTTGAATTAATAAAAGTCTGTTGTTTTTAGAAAGATGACCTGATGAGTGCTCAGTGAACTGAGAATTTTATTGTTTTTGTTATGATAGATGCCAATTTAAGGAGGTTTTAGCAGCTATATTTTATGTGCTGGAATGAATGATGTTGAAAGCCATAGTAAAAAGATAGCATTTTTTTTTTTTGTTGTTGTAGTGACCTCTTAAACTGTGTTGCACTTTTATGATGAGTTTCATTTAATTAGTTTGTTTCTTTAGTTTTGGTGAAACAGTTGTTTAAAACTTGATACATTTTCTCAGTGCTGCTGTGTGTGTGTGTGATTGCAAATCGATGCATATATGTGTGTGCACGTGTGCATTTGTGAAGGTGTAAATGTGAGTATGTGCATGTTGGACCTCTTGGTGCATTACGATTGAAAATTTACATTTTTGAAAAAATTAGTGTATGGTTGTTTCGGTCCTTAGATGTTTAGAGAAAGGATTTAAAATTTAAAAGAGCAAGTTACACTTATTAAAGATTAATTTTTTGAATACTTACAGTATTCATTCTGACTAAAACAGGTAATTTGAAGTGTATGGGAGGTGTTTTAGTAGACTACTAGTAGGAACTTTCTCAAAAAGGATGTACTGTTTAGATAATAACAGAAAAGAAAAATCTTTCGTGTTAATTTGTAGTCTGGAAGTAACACAGTGAAACTTGACCAGCATAATTTATGTTAATATTTTTTTAAAGACATATCTGAACATGCCTATAATGCTGGCTGGTGAAGCATAAAATGCTTATTTTATCTTTTTAGGAGTAAATCACTGTGTGTAGTCTTTTTTAACCACTGATTTCTCAGTTTATATTTAAATATATTCAAGATTTTCAAATATGTAACAGTGATGTCATTTTCACAACCATTAAAACAACTGCAACAAGGAAAAAGTTTATCCTTGATAATTTTTTAAACTTTTTAGATTACAGAAAACTGATACTTAAAGTAAGGAAAGGTCTACAAAGATCTGCACATAAATTATTTTA